TAACAAGTGTTCAAAAAGACCACCTTCTTGTGCTAGACAGAAGCCTAGGCGGTCGTAAAATCCCCGTCTGACATTGACTAACGTATTAGGGCTAATAGTTTGGAAAGCCTCTCGTATTTTTACTTGAAGCTCATCCAGATAATTAGCCCTATTATGGACCATACACTTTGGATTTTACATAACCCCACAAAAAGAAATCATTGGGAGAAAGATCTGGTGATCTAGCGGGCCACAAAATAGTTCCATATCCACTAATTAAACGGTTGGGAAAAGTATTGTTCAAATATTCTTGAACAATACGGGCATTGTGGGCAGGGCAACCACCTCAGCAATTTGATTACTTGCAAACATGGGATTTTGATCCGCGGTAGCACAAATGAACACTTGCTTTAACTCCTGTTCTTTATTAATCAACACATCAGGGTTTTTGTGGGGAGACGCACCCATGTGTTTCAAAATTATTATTAATAACTCCTGATATAGTAGGTAAAGATGGAATTGGCATGTTTACAAAAGTTTGTGGAAAAATTGTTTGTATATCCCGATAAGACCTATTTTGGAAATACCATGTTACAATTTGAATTTTCCCACGAACTTCGTAAACATCCATTATTTTACTTAAAAAATAAATTTTACACGAGAACTGTCGCGAGAATCTATGTATTCGTTTTGGCTATTAAAACAGGAATAAATACAAATTCTGAAACATTCTTATCACATAATATCGACCTATTTTTATTTTATCGCATTTTTTCGCCTGCTTTTTATCCGACGGATGGGTATACGCTAATTCGTCCGGTTTTGTCTATGTTACTACTACGGGTGGTCCGGTCTGTATAATTTCAACGTACGCCACGTAAAATTTGCGATCGGCTGACATACGTAGGAGCATTCGTCGCGTCGTCGGCCCACACAGCATATAATTTTTCGTATTCCTGGTAAACGATTCCCGATGATGTCTGTTATTGGTCTATGATGTTTGTTGTCAAAAAATATTTGACGGTTGACGGTTCAACGGTTTCGTAGGCGTAACCTCACTTTGCGTATCAGCGATTTGTGGATTTGTGCAATTATATTTTAGTTTTTGTTTTCTCCTTAAAAAATGAGCAGCCACTTTTTTTAAGATAGTATATATACAAAATTTAAAAGAATTGGAACCAGTACCTCACATGTGGGACGAGGATGGGGTCTGCTGGTTTCCCAAGTAAAAAAAAAGAAATTAAGGTGCACCAGTGTAATGCAGCATCTCTTCCGGATAAAATGCATTCGTGGGTGGAGGAAAGACATCACTACTACTATTATTATTTTGCAAAAGCCTCGACCTCTTTCTGTAAAATGTAGATGAATGTCTAAATGCCTTTTTAGTGCTTTTTTTAGGCATACTAAAAAAAATTAAGTTTGTTTACAAAAACTTTTTCTTAGGTTATGTTCATGATGTTTATTAGGCCGCAAATGCTACTTAATGGGTTGTATTTACGGACGTAAATAGAGATACGTAAATTAGGTTATAAATATGAACATAAAATACAACAACATATAATTGGACGTTATTTTAGGGATTATCAGTGAGACGTATCCTATCGGACAACGGGTAGACGTCGGGCTAGTTCAAGTATACGTCGTGCAAGCCAACGTGGGAACGACGTTGGGAAATTAATAAAAATGGTACGTTGTTATTTTGTACGTCGATAGATCGTTGGATTTACCGACTCGGATCCAACGACGTCGCTTTTAATAGGAAAGCGACGTCACCAGTCGTATCACCAACACCCGACCTAAATTTGCACAAAGTCTGACGTCGCTTCAGGTCAGATTTAGTTCTAAGTCAGATAGATGCTACTTGGGTTATAATCAATAATCACGCAAGGAGCAATCATGCAATAATCACGCCAAGGAGCCCATATCTAATATATGTACACTACATTACTTATTACAAAAGTATAAATCAAAATTCATTTTATTTCAATCTAAATAGAAAAAAATATATCTATGTATTATATATATGTTTTATTTATAAAATATATATTCTCTTAAACAGCATTCATAACTTTATTTCTAGATGTAAACAGAATTTTCTGTCTGTTTGGTAGATGTGTTAGGATTTCTGTTCAGACGAATTTTCATCAAAATACCCCATTTTTGACACCTAAGAGTAGGGGAAATAAATCACAATCACTCGGGAATTCCAATCGGAGCGATTTGACGTCAATCTCTTTCTTCGGGAAATTTTGATATAAAATATATTGAATATGTTTGTTAGCTGATAACCTACTATTATTTTATCTATTCAGAAAAGAGCTATTAGTGTCAACGTTAAAAAGTAACAATAAAGAGTCAAACGTCTCTAAGTCAATAAAAACATATTCTTTTCGTTAAATCTTAATTGCATCAAAGTAGGAAAATATTGCAACATAGCAGGAAGTAACGTCTAGGTTTGTGGTATAAAAAATTAAAATACCAAAAACGCCAAAATTATTATGGATTGTCATTCCCCAGCCGTCTTTGACGCCGTTTTTTAAGAACATATGTTATTAAATATATTGTTAATGCTTATTACTCACGCAGAAGTAAGAGGTAAATAATCAACTCCATATACTTTTATATTTAGCTTATCTATACTAATATATAAAACCCTTAAGCGACTGACTCACTGATTAATCACGATCCTGCTCAAATCACTCAACGTAAGAAGCCCAATTTTGGCATACAGATTGATTCTAGGGTTTAGAGGTTCGATAATAAGGGATTTTTCGAAATTCCAGTTCCAAGGGGGTGAAACCACCCCTCAAATATTACAATATTTTTTTATTTAAAAAACGGTCAAGTTTCCGAAAAAACGCTTAAACAGGTATATTTTATTTATTTTTTATATATTTTAAGATTTTTTGTATAAAATACTCTGTATAAATGTATACAGGGTGTTTCGAAAAATCTGGTCATTGATTAATCACGATCCTGTTTAAAGCGCTTGACGTAAAAAGCTGATTTTTGAAAAACGGATTGACTTTAGGGTGTAGAAGTTCGATAAGAAGGGATTTTTCGAAACTCGAATTCTAAGAGGGTGAAACAACCCCTCAAATATTAGAATATTTTTTATTTTAAAACCGGCGAGTTTTTCGGAAAAACACTTAAACAAGTATATTTTATTTTGTTGTTTTACATATTTTAAGATTTTTTAAAAATTTATACAGGGTGTTTCATAAAATATGACCATTGAATAATCACGATTCTGCTGAAACTGCTTGACGTTTAAAGCTGATTTTTCTCAAACGGATTGACTGTGGGGTATAGAGGCTCGGTAAGGAGGGATTTCTTGAACCTCCAATTCCAAAAGGGTGAAAACGCCCCTCAAATATTACAAATTTTTTATTTAAAAAAGGGTTAGTCTTTCGGGACACGCATAATTGCTTGGACACGTTATAAAAGTATAAACGCTTGGACACGTATAAAAAAAATACAGAGTGTTTCAAAAAGTTGGGTTATTGATTAACCACGATTCTGCTTAAACTGCTTGACGTAAAAAGCTTATTTTTGGCACACGGATTTTTCGAAAGTCAAATTCCAACGAGATGAAACTACTCCTCAAATATTACCAAGTTATATAATAATATCGCCATATTGTTTTTTCTCATGCTGACATAAATGTGAAAAAATTTTATTCAGTTTGTATGTTAATGGAAATTCTTGCTTTGCTTTATAATCACCATTACAAATGATTAATTCGAGCGAACGAAATCGCAGGTAGACGCTAGTATATGATATATATATATTTTAGCTTATAGACACATTCTCCAATGAAAACAAAAGTAATTTCTAGTTTATAATATGGTGTTACTACAGCAGTAGTAATCCAACAACAGTTTAAAGTTAAATCGATAAAAATAAGGAAAACTTGTTTTAGATATGAAAAGTTACTGTGTACGAATGTTAAAAAAAGTTATAATGAATATATCCTAACTTTTGCTATGCATTTAAATTCATTTTAATTTTATACATTCGCAAATCCGTTATATTGTAATTTACTGGAAAGTTTGGTAGAATTTTCCAATGTTGTTCAAACATCGTATAATGGAAAAATTTTTAGATTAACAAAGTTCATAAATTATAACCTTCAGAAATATGTTTATTTTTTTATATTAAAATCCTATAAAATGAGCTCCTTGTAAGTGTCCTGTAAAATTTAACTATTTTTTGATTACTAACTTATTTTTAGCTAAAATATATCAATGTAAATGAGCCTGGAAATCTCTTGGTGCTTAAAATTTTACTGTAACTTAATTTGCTTCTATGACTTGGATACTCTTGATTACTTCTATGACTTGTAACCAACAATTCGAAGTTGGTTAAAGAATGCCTAGAGTTTCTAAACTTGAATAAAATACTTAAATCAGGTAAATAAAATAAAAATCCTCCTATTCTGGGTGCGAGCATACCAATAGATAGAAGATAATGAAAAAGCAAACGATTTAGCTAGAAAAGGGGGAAACACTCCACTAATTGGACAAAAAAAAATAAAAGTGGAACGATCTAAGACACTCGAAGGAATTTTTCAGGGTTTACGACCTAGGGAAGTCACAGATTTTTCTTGACTTAATTATGAACAATCATGGATTGTCATGGGGTTTTTAACAGAACACTCTCTCCTCAATGAATAGCTCAGTAGATTGAAGCTAGGAAACAACGGCGAATGCAGATTCTGTGGGGAAAATGGGGAAACACCAGATCACCTCGTTACTGAGTGCGCCGAGACGCCAACCATTCCTGACATAAACTTTGGTACGTCTGATATTGGAGATGGAGAACTAACCTCTGTAAAATCGTCTCAGATACTGGCTTCTGACAAGTATAAACACAGTATAACACACATCATCAATGTACCATACAGAACATAAGTAATATCTCGATCAGAGTGGAAATAATATTGCTAATCCTTTAACAAGATGATGGTAAATAGCTCTAACAGTAATAAAATTAATATTAAAACTAGATGTAGTACTTACAGCTTTGTCGCCAAGCTGTTCAACTCGACAGTGCAAAAATGCAGTTCTGCCCACCACCGTAGTGACATTTCTATTATGGTTGTATTCGAAGTACGGCTGAGTGTTCACTGTCACTTTCGAAGTTCCGTGAGACTTAACCAATCCTGCAAAGAAAAATAATATAACAATTCAATGTTGGGTACTATAAAGAATAATAATAGTTACAAACATAATTTATGGATTTTATAAACGGTTCCACATCAGATTTATTTGTCATTTTGATTCAGGGGAAATTTAAATTTTGTAACAATTAAAATATGTAACAGTTACCCTGCCTGCTATTTAGTAAAATATTAATATATAAATAATATAGTGGCATCAAGCTATAAAACTGCAATTTTAAGTTAAATAAATATCCAACTTTATGAAACCTTCTTTTAGCTACAAAATTTATATTTCTCTTCAATATTCAGTCTCACTTAGATCAACAAAAGTTTATTTAAACTTTAATTTATCGCGACGAGCAACCCGCGTATATTCCAAACCAATAATTTACTTACTTACCAGACCCTCAAGCCTTTTGGTCAATATTTAAGGACCCGGGTGTTCTTGGTAATTACAAAATTGATTTAGTTCAAACCCCAAAAAGGGCGTCGACCTCAAATTTGCCATGAACTTTATAGAGGCGATTTTGGTTTAAAATTGGTAAATTTCTAATAAATTTAATTTCCAAATTTAATATATATGCTTCAGAGGAAAGTGTAATAAATTATCTTTTAAGCTTATAATTTATGATAATTTTAAAACTATAAACTGCATCACAGTTTGTTAGGGAAGTAAATAAATCTGAAAACCAGCTCATTAGTTTATAATTATAAATGATAGAGTTAAATTGAAATAAATTAAACCCCATATAAAATAGGCCTACTATGTATTTCAAAATAGATTGTTACTGTCAATTAAAAATGTTAAGCAGGCTTTTTGAAATGAAACTTCTTTACGTGCGATGGGAGTTAAAATTCAAGGCCGTGACATTCCACGGATTTATATTTTCAGTTATATGTTGCAATATTATTCATGTTATAATATATTTTTTCCTTATTAATATACTATGAATAACTCATTTTTAATATAAAAGATTGAAAACTCTAAAGTAGACATAAGTTTACGTTGCATTTTGATTTATTTTCCTTACTGATATTGTACATTCAATTTATATATTTGGATAACATACTGTACATATATAAACTATCTAAGATAAATTTGAAATTGCTCCCATCTCAAATATTTTATATTGCTTACTCTGGGATGTTGGCAAATAAGACAGGCGAAGTAAATCTCTAGAACATTTGTTTAGATAGGCATCGTACTGAGGATCTTACATTATTTGTAAGTCCCCGTCATTTTCTGTTATATAATACCGGAGGATCAAAAAGTTTTAAACAGCCTCTACACTATTGCCGAAATATTTTACGAAATATTTCTGGAAATATTTTGTAAAACATTTCTAGAAATTTTTTCAGAAGTAAACTCAAATATAAGCCCGTGTTATAAAAATTAGTTCCAACGTTTCCTGAAATAGATCGAAAGGCGCCGTGATTGGTTATTTGTTTTTTATTGTTATCCCAGATTAACAATAAAAAACAAACAACCAATCACGGCGCCTCTCTATCTATTTCAGGAAACGTGGGAACTAATTTTTATAAACACGGGCTTATATTTATCGTAGTATTTTGTGAAATAGCATGAAGCAATTAAGGTCAAACATTGTCGTTGCTTCAGAAAAATAAGTAAAAATAGAGTATAAATAAATATCATTAATTTGTAATGGCGTGTAATGTAATACCACTACTTATATTAAACTGATACGAAAAATCAAAAACAGCATTTAGAAAAGATTACTGATGGTAGATTAAATTGGCTATTCCTCTAAGGTTACACAAGAATATTTAATTTTTATCATTGTCTAACATTATTAATTACAATATAGTAAAAAATATATTTCCAAGACTCAAAATCGTAAAACTGCCGGGCAATACGCAGTGACTGTTCTGGCGGTCCGCCTTTTAGATATTATAATCCACGGTGTTAAACCATGTAAAAAAATTGTCTAATTATTTCTTATTTTCGAATGGATTTATATCAAACAATGTTATTATTATACAGGGTTGTTCACCACATACGGACACGGAGTATTGTAGCTAAACGATTAGATTTTTTACAAATTGTAAGTTTTGAATTCGTTGAAGGACTATTAGAGCTACTTGTTCTTTTCAAAAAACTTGACAAACTTAAACTTCCCTTGGCGATAGAATGCAGAGGTTGTATCGCATCCACTGATTGCATGTAGGAACAGGATATTCCCTTTGACAACAGACGAGAAGTTGAAGTACTTGGGAGAGTAGAATGTATTCTGAGAGGTTCCCTTTCCAGGTTTCATGACGTAAATGTCACCAAATTCATCTAACAAGATGAATTTGGTGATTTGGCGGTTAATAGGATCAATAAATCGGTGTCCTCCCTGATTATGATGACCGTAGTCTTAGATAGCCGCAAAATGTAAGTTTGCACCAAAATACGAAATTTTCTTCGTTTTTAACATTGAATTTCGGCTATACCACTGAAACAAATTTGATGTGTTTCAGTCCTCTATATTATTGAATGCAATGACATTTTCCGGCCGACGCACCGATTTTCAGCTACAAGCAAAAAACTCAAAAATGTGCAAAAATTTGACGGTTTTTTGCCTATCAAAAACTAAGCTCACCTCCTGGGATGGTGCAAACTTAGATTACACGCATTTAGGATCAAATAAAAATATTAAAATGATTTCCAGCTTGCTGGAAATTTATTCCTCAAAATATATTAATTTGATTGGTCTTGCAAAATAAAACACTAAATCACCACAATACACCAAAACACTTTTACTTTTACACTGGACGCGCGTTTCGCTAACCATGTTAGCATCATCAGCAGATGATTATAAGAAAAACTTAGTTTTTTTTAGTTTTAAATAATCATCATTTTAAATAATAATCATCTGCTGATGATGCTAACATGGTTAGCGAAACGCGCGTCCAGTGTAAAAGTAAAAGTGTTTTGGTGTATTGTGGTGATTTAGTGTTTTATTTTGCTGTGTAACACCAAAGGTTCCAACCCTCAACTGTAATATTGATTGGCCTTGTTATATTAATCAATTAAGGCCGCGTAAACAAACATAATATATAAAATTTTATATACTAATTTATTAAAAAATTAACTAATTTATTATAATAAAATTAAATAATAATCATATTGTAATTATATTCCTGCAGATTGAGTGAAAAGTTTTTTTTTAAATATCTACTCTACATATAATAAACGCATGTTCAAATATTAATCTTCTGGATTATATAATCTTCTGGAATTAATCTTCTGGAATATATCAACACAAAACGATATGTAATTAACGTAAAATATCATCGTAACAACAGCTATTTTAGAAACGTTTAGGTTTACTTATTTCACTGATATTTATGAAAAAAAGTCCTTTGCCTCGTGTACAGATAACGGCACGTTTTGGAAACAGCTCAACACAAAACAAAATTGAACGAGGCGACAGGAAACGCTAAAAAAAATCCCCCTGCGCCCTCCTCACGAGTAGTTTTCAGGCGCTTTTAAGACAACCCGAAGTGGGCCAAAACAAATAGAAATAAACCGAAATGCGACAAAGTTGGGCGACGAAATGCGACCTTGATCTGCTTCGAAGAGTTCTCCGCATACACAGTATTGAGAATTGTGTAGAGGTTGTTTTATATCCAAGTTTTTCTTGATTTTGAATATTAATTAAAATGTAATGTAATTTAATGGTCTATCATCGTGAAATTATACTTTATCGTAAAATCTTCCTTTGAGGACTACCCTTTCCTGAATTTTAATTTAATTTAAGTTAACCCTAATTTTTACTGTGACTTTAATACTATCTTCTCTCCTATTTAGACATAAAATTACAAAGTAAATACACTCCGAATTTCCATTATACAAGTGAGTTCTTTCCGAGCTTAGCCCGATCCACGTAGTTTATTTAAAACGATTTATATGCGGATTGCAAAGTGGGACTGAACATATTTTCGCAGTTCTCGAAATATTTTCTTTGGAGCCTTCAAAGAGATACGTTTTGAGGAAGGCATTCGAAGGTTTTTGCTTTTGATGTATGCAAACTACGAGCTGGGAATGTCGCATTAGGGCAATTTGTATTTTTGTGTATAAATATAGTTCGTTTCTTGTAACTTTTCCAATCGTGGTGAAATCCGATCCATCAAAGTAATAAAAATTGATATGTTTTTTAAAGGAAGACAAGATGGTACAAGTCGAAAGTGGCCAGAATTTATTCAATCGAATCCTCATTTCGATTTTTATTTAGATTCTGTATTCTAAATGTGTTATCTCAAATGACGTTTCGTAGGTATGTATGAAAATATATTTCTTAAAGAAACTATTTGGAGAACAAAAAAATTAAAACATTAAACCTAAATAATTTTTTTTATATTGTCAATCGTTTTTGTGATGTTTGAAAAATCTGTGGATTTTGACAACATAATATTTTATTATATATTATAGTCTGTCCAACGAGAAGATCCTTAACAGTGATAGATGTGTCTGTCATTTTAATTTCAAAGTAGTTTATTTTATTTTACAAAGAAATAAGTTGGTACAATTGGAACGTATAGCAGGAAATATTTAAAATTTGATTGACAAGATGACAAGTGATTACTTCAAAATATTGTGAAAAAAACTGTATAAAACTGAACAAATGTAATCGAGTTATTTTATTTAATGAAAACGGTATGTGTTAATACAAAACAAACAAGAACAAGACACTACATACCAAAAAAATATAAAAAAGAACTATTTTTTACTTTCAAGCTTTATGAAACTACCCGCATTTATGATTTGTAATATTCCACAGGAATAAATAAAACAACATAGGTAAATAAAACAAACTATTTTATTAATAATAACACCTACCAAATTTTATACGTTAAAGATTGGTTAATTAACTTTAATCTTAATTTTTTTAAACCAGTACCTTTTGACATTATTTTTCTGCAGTACTAAAATCCATTATTTACCTATCGTGTGATGTCGATATTTTACAGCTACTCTAGTTTTTAGTATGTGTTTA